TCCTAATATGCCAGACATTTTATATGGGCAAAGAATACAATCAGTAAACAAAACAAAAATCTCTGCTTTGTTTAAATACATCCTTGTCATGCTGCATGGATAAATGCAAGAAAATAAGATCACTACAGGTAACAGTTATAGAAAAGAAAAACCAAATGCAGTAAAGACTAATCTGTAATCAAGCAATGTTGACTAACAGCCAAAGTGCTGTTGAGCTGTGAGACCTGCATGGTGAGGAGTTAGAAAACAATGCCATGCCAGAAAAAGCCTACATTTTTACCACATATTTCCCTTATATCTACCTTGAACCCTTTTTTCTCTTATGTACATGCTTTATACTGTAATTTTTACAAGTATTTTTATTTTATGTGTATGAGTGTGTTGCCTGCATGTATGTAAGTGCTCTTGTGTCATGCAATGCCCATGGAGGTCAGAAGAGGGCATTGTTTCCTATGGAACTGGAGTTACAGCTGTTAGCTGTCATGTGAATGCTGGGAACCAAACCCAGGTCCTCTGCAAAAGCACTAACTAGGGCTCTTAACCACTGAGTCATCTCTTCAGCCCCTACACTATAATATTTTGCTCCACAATTTCAACTATCATTTGTCCTCATAGTGTAAGCAATTTTAGAGTAAGGACTGCATTTCTTTTTCCCATTGCAGCCCTCTCCAAGCCTATCAGTACCAAATTGACTGATAATATAGTAGCCTAGCAATTTCTTGTATACTTTAGTTTGTATTCTGTTCTTTCCAAATTCACGTCTCTAGTAATATTTTGGGAAACGTGCCCTTTGGATTAAAAGGAACTTAATGTTTTAGGAACCAGTGACATTCAAAGATGTGCTTGTGGAATTCAGCAAGGAAGAGTGGGAGCAGCTGGACTCTGCTGGAAAGATCCTGTACAAGGATGTGATGCTGGAGAACTTCAGAAATCTGAACATAGTGTATAAAGGTGGCTCTGTGTCTTTACCTAATCTATCCATGAGTGGTCACTACATCTGTTAAAAGCTATAGGGCTGCTAAAGTGTTTGCATTCATTTGGTTCTGGGTACAGATATCTTTAGGGCACAATTTCAGATTTTCCTGGTGTCTGGTAAAAAGTCCTTTCCCATATAGAGACATATACAGAAATATACAGGTGCTTTTCTGGTCTTCTCCTTCAGTAGTTTAACCTACTGGTCCGGATGGATTTCTGTTCCTTATAAAGTGTCCATAGTATTGTGTATGCTTATGAGGGATTTTTTGGCCATATGAACATCTGGTATGTTTTCTACATGAGTTGAGAACCACAATCTGGAAGGTAAGAGACAATTGAGGGAGAAATCCCGGGAAGAACTATGTTGGGTAATAACAAGGCAGACAAAAGGCGTTTGTAAGAACATACTGACTGCTATACACACGCGTGCAGCACAACTTCTGAATTACTAGTTAGGAGATAACAAAATTCCTCAAACTCTGGGGGGAAAGTGTCACCTTTGTTCACAGGTGCTCTCTCTTTGTGTGGTATGTACATGTGTAGAAGCCTGGATTTGAAGTTAGGTATCTTTCTTTGATTGCTGTCCATTTTGATTGCTGTCCATCTTTATTTATTTATTTATTATTTATTTAATTATTTTGAGACAAGGTCTCACAGAGCCTGAAGCTCATCAATTTGGCTAGGCTAGTTGGCCAATGAGCTCCAGGGATCTGCCTGTCTCCACACCCAGCTCTGAGATCACAAACATTTAGCGCCATGCCCTGCATTTTCTATGTACTCTGGGAATCTCAACTCGGGCCCTCAGGCTTATGTGGTAGGCACTTTACTGTGGGTAAAGTGCCTACCACTTTTATGGGTAGCCACTTTACCCATCTTCGTAGCCAAAGTTTCTTTTACTTACGTAGCAAAATAGTGCCATGGGTTAAGACCACAAACACTTAAAGTTGTGTGACTTGAGGCAAAATTGGTACCAGATACCTCACCTGTAACATAAAGTCAATCACAGTGCCTTCCCCCGTTGAAACACATGGCAAACTTAGAACATTTCCTGGAACATGGCGAGTGCTCAATAAACAAATGTGAGCTAACCTAACACTGGACATTATTCTGTCTTTTGAAGAAAAAAATGTAGTTTATGCTAGAGTGGCTCCGAATAGCCTTCCTATTTTCCTTGATTGTAGAACTTCTTAACTTGTGCCTTAACTCCTTGAACACAATAGTATTCTCTTCATTCTTGCTTACACTTTGTAAGAGACTTTGAAATTGTAAAATTAGAACCAATTTTAGCGAATAAAGTATAAAGCAGTAACTCACCTACAGCCTCATTCTCCTCTACAGTACCATGCTTTGGGGTTTTTAAAGCCATTTGTTGGTGATATGTCTGTCTGGTTTCTGAGCATTCTTTTTCGTCCAAAACTGGAATTCTTTTCAGTTTTTTTCTAATATTCACCATGAATGTTATTTTGCTTCCTGTTCTTCTTAACAATTACATATTTCACTAGTGTATAAGCATGTGGCTTTGATTCACATACCATATCCCATTCTATGTATATATCGTATGTTCAACCATCACACATACTGTTGGACATTTAGATTGTTGAAATTTTTCAGGCATACCTGATGTAGGATATCTTTTTAGAACGTCAGCACTAAAGCATAGAAATATTTTTAACTGCCCTACTACAAAATGTGAAATCATCCATCGCAAGGCTACCATCACTTGTATTCTCACTTATAACGAATATTTCCCACAAGAGGGCAATTCTCTCTTATTTTCTAGAGTAAGTGCTCCATCCCTCTCCTTGTCTTTTGGGGACTTATTTCTTCTGACTTTTCTCATATTTTGACCATTTGTGTTTTATCTACAGTTAAAGGTTTGTAGAACTGCTAAAGTTGTGTTCCTTTGGGTCTGGCATAGATTTCCTGAAATCCATTGGGCATCATAGGACACTTACATGCTCTGGTTAAAAGTCCTTTCTAACACAGAGTTGTAAATACACATTTTGAACATTTTTTGTTCATTACTGGTTTTTAAAGATTTTCTCACAACCCAGCACCCTCTTCCAAGTATTGCAGTTTCTCAGTTCTTTCTAGCCAAGGTTCTCAAAGTAATTTACACTTGCTTTTCCCACCTTCTCGCTTCTTATTCCTACCCCATTTCAGTTTAGCTCTGACCCAGCACTTGTCTCTGCTAGCTGTTGTGAGGGTCTTTCATAGTCCATTTGTAGCTGACCACTGTGGACATCTTTCCACTCTTTATCTCACTTTTCCACAGCAAGGGACATTGTTAACTGTTCTTCACTATTAAAACACACTCTTAGGATCTCAGGATAATCCTGATTTTCCTTTTTCTGCTTATTTTATCTCTGCCAATTATGGGCATATCTTTCCCTAAGTTTCCAATAAATTTCAGTTTCTCAATATTTGATCTCACTTTAACCTCTTTTTAATCTACATTTTTTCCTAGCTTATCACAACTGCAATTTAAACTTTTCATTACTGTACATATATAGATGACTTCAAACCCCAGATCAGACTTCTCTTAACTGAAGTTTATATACATTATGATATTTTTCTTGTATAAAAAGTTTTAAACTTCATAAAACCAAAGTCTAATTTTTCATTTGTGGTCATCTTCTGTTGTTCGCTATCTGAATAAATAACACCAGCATCTATCCAGGTATAAAAGATACATTTTCCTGTTTTTGATACAATCCTTTACCACTCAGTGGTTTATTTTCCAAACATTTCGGAATTTCTCCATGTGTCCCATCTGCAGGGCCATCAGTACTGTCCTGTCACCTGAACTATGACCTTAGCATGCCTTTAGTTCTGTTTCTCCCCATCCCGGTGTTGGAGCCACAAACTACCAAAGCTCAGATTTTGTGTCTGTTTGCTTAAGCAAAACTGAAATCACGATGCTGTTTTACTTTGTAGCATTCCAGTCCTGCCTCCTTTTCCAACCTCTTCTCATCCCATATACTTCTCCCTTTTGCCCTCCAACCACACTGATTGGCTTTCAGTCAACCAACATCAAGTGTGTGTTAATATTAAGCATCTCTTTGCTGTGTCCTGAGCACTGTGATAAGTGTTGATGTGCAGCAAAGACACCCCTACAGGAATATATCACAGTTTTTCTTTGAGTTCTTAACATTTGATCTCATTGCCTTTATATTCTTCTTTAGTCTATCATATCTGAAAATACAGCTTTTATTATATATATATATATGAGACTTAGAAATGCATAATCTTTCTGGGATACTTTCTTTTATCCTTCCCCTTTAACACACCTGTTCTTTCACAGCACAAATAAGTTCCTATATCCTCAAGGCAGCCTTTCTTAACTAGGTTTTTCTGTTAGATACTCCCACATCCCCATAGTCTCCCTTTAGCACTTATCAAAATTATAGTTGTATGCATCTATATAAATCTTTTGCCTGTGTTGAACTTTGTTCCTTGGGGATGGGTGCCATGTCTCTTTGTACCATTTTATCTCCATCCTTTAGTACATAAAGAACAACAAAAAAGATGGATGAATAGTGGGTTAAAATAAAATTGTGAGATATTTTTGTTTTAGTCATTTGTGACCATTCAATGATTGCTTTGTGCCCTTAAATTAAAACTTGGTTTTTAATATGCTAACTTCTTATATAAATTTTCAACATTCATTACCTGATACACAAAAAGGAAATTGTAAGCCAATATCACTTCACCATGAGTAAATAATCTTTTTGATGTGCCATTGAATTTGACTTGCTAGTAATCTGTTGAAAATACTGTTCTCCACTCATCAAGAATATCCGTGTATAGTTTTCTTTTTGTATGAGTATCCCTTGTCCAGCTAAAAGGGTAATTCTGACTTTATAGAGTAAATTTGAAATTATTTCCTTTCTTTCAAGTCTATGGAATAATTTGAGAAAAATTTGCATTTAGATATTTACGAATTACGGTAAAATTCATCAGTAACAATGTACAGCACTGAGATTTTGTGTGCTTTTTCTCACTCAATTTTAATACATGTTCTATTCAGGATTTTTATGGTCTCATGGTCGACAACCTAAAAGCCGTACTATAAAGGATTCGTATGAATGTCCCCTTTGTGAGAAAACCTTCAGCAGAACATCTTCTCTTATTCGACATCAGACCACCCACACCAGAGAAAAACCATACAAATGCAATGAATGTGGGAAATCCTTCAACAGACATTCAGACCTTAAGAGTCATCAAAAGCTTCATACTAAAGCAAGGGATGGTGACTACTATAACATGGAAAATCTTTCAGGAGCAAGATTGAGTTTTCAAGATTCTGCAAACCAAAGCTATCAGTGTCTTCACTGTGGAAAATCCTTCAGCCGCAATTCTTCCCTCCTTCGACATAAAGTAATTCATACAGGAGAAAAACCATTCAAATGTAAGGTCTGTAAAAAAACCTTCGCCAGATGTACAAGCCTTGTTAAACATAAGGAACTTCATACTTGAAACATGAGACTACTAATGAGGACTCATTCAACATCCAGAAATTTATGTTGAAGGGAATCCTGTGACGATGATAAATGTAAGAAAACATTTGTAAGACATTAATCCTTAAATGATATGACAAGAATTAATGATTGGAGAGAAATCTATTTTGAGGGAGCTTTTCCAGATTCCCAAATGAAGCCAAGCAGGAGGGTTTAAAATTAAACATACCACTATACAGTTCTTATTAGTTTGATATGCTAAGTACCCTTACAGTTCTCTAATTCATCAATACAGTCTACAGCATAACTGGCTTGCTGCTTATAGAGGAGCTACACAATATGCTTGACACTGACGTTTAATTAAAAACTGCCAGCACTTACAGGAAGGTCACAAAAATTTAGAAGCTTATGAGAATACTGAATACCAAGAACTGAAATCCCAGTTAATACCAAAGGCTATGATGACATTCAACTATTCTAGCCTATCATGTCCTTGGTTTGTCTTTAAGGACTAAACTTGGAAGAGTTAACTACAATAGAAGATGGATGTAATAGTGTTCATTTTATAGATTCTTAAAATCTGAATTTTTAAAAATATACCATAAACCTAGACTAGAAAGCTATCTATAGCCTGAGGGCTCTCATTTATCCTAGATATTATAAAGTCAATACAACGCCCTAATACTCTGCACCAGAACTGTATACTGTAAGCTAACTCAGGATCCTAAATTTTTCCTTGAACCAAGAAACATGTTTTAATCCTCCCAAAAAGATTCATATTAGAGACACTCCTAATGAATGATAGATTTCTCTCAGAGTTGATACCATATTTCAAAGAAGAAAAATCCCAGAAGGGATGTGATAAGTTAATGAAAAAATATTTTTTGACATCACAATTTATTATACAGCCCTACACAAGAAATTGTTATGGAACATCATTTAACCTAAGGTGACAAGTAGAGGATCCTAATGGAGATACTCTGGATGAAAGAAGGTATTGGGGTGTAGTGCATTCATCAAAGCATTTATTGGGATGTTAACTGGAATGGGTACTTTTTAATAAAATTTGATTTTCTTTTGGGTGGTCTAAATATGGAAAGTACTATTTTCATGTTAACTTTTCTCTTAACAGTTATTTGGGTCTAAGACATTTTCCCCCAGATCTCCAGTCTTTCTTAAAATATGCTTACTCTAGGCTCTGAGAATTGGTCGGTGGGGAAAGAGCACTTGCTCTGCAAGCATGAGTACCTAAGTTCAAAAGCCAGAAATGGCTGTACATGCCTATAATCCAAGCTCTGGGGGAAGGGCAGAGATAGGCAGGTCCCAAGAGCTCACTCACCAGCCCAACTAGCTGAAAAGGAGAGCTTGCAGTTCAGTGAGATCTGTCTCAAGGTAATAACACGAAGAGGGATAGAGGAAGGCACCTGATTTTTTACTCAGACCTCCACATGTGGGCATGCACATGCACACTGACATGTATGTACTTCATACAAAAAATGTATAAAGTAAAATAAGCTTACTAAATTCACTAAGCTAAGCATAATGCAGCTTCAAATAACACTGTTTTGAAATGCATTCAAATTTTAATGCTTGAAAATCATTCACAGCTAATGGACATCTTTCAGGCATTTTTCCATTAACTAATTTAACATTTTGAATTTGCTGTGTACCATCAAAGATCTAAGCTTATATGTGAGAACTAGTAGAGATTATGTATGGTGAAGGGGGGGATGTTAGAAGTAGTGAGAAATGAATGAAACTACAGAAGAATGAAGAGACAGGGCATACTGGGAGGCATAAGCTCACTGGCTGGAATGTGCATTGGGAAGGAACAAGCACTTCCACTTTGCATACAGATAAAGCTAGATAAGAGACCCAAAATATCCTGTCCCAAGGGGTCTTGTATTCCACCTTAGGAGTTTGGATTTCATCACATAAGTAACAGCAAGAAACAGATTTATATTAACTTTTTGTTTAATACATGGAAAATATGAGACAAAGAAAACTTGGGGAGGATAAGGAAATCATTTGTTGATGTGGTTGACCTTCAAGATAGCTAATCAACTGAAAAACTTTTAAATTTACAAAATGAATTGTGACGTGTTCTATATACCCACTTCATTTTGTCAAAGAAACAGAAGTAGCTATGAACATTTTTTAATTTGTGAATTTCATACAATATAATTTCAATTATATTTAGATCAGATCCCCTCCCATATCTGCACTCCTTTCTAAACCCCCACCAAATTCCTGTACATTAAAAAAAAATGAACATTTTTTTAAAAGGCAGGTAAAGACAGGCATGGTGACACCTGTAATCCCAGTACTCAGAAGGCAGAGGCAGGTAGATGTCTGAAATCGCTGCCAGTTTGGTCTATATAGCAAGTTCAAGGCCAGTTGGGGCTATAGGGAGACACACTCAAAAAAAAAAAAAAAAGGAAGCACCACCTTGTAAACAGTGTGAGGGTAGCATAGGAATTGGTATCTTGAGGACTGAAATGATTAGAACTAGACCCTAGGTGGTTATAAGAATTCAGCATATCAAATAGCACTTCAGATCAGTGGTTAAATATGCAGATGTTTATATTTTATAATATATGTATAAATAAACATGCTGTGGAAAACCAGTCTGCAACTTAAGTCTTGCCAAAAGTCCATGAGCTGAGTATTGTCAGATCTTTTTTTTTTTTTTTTTTTTTTTTTTTTTTTTTTTAAAAAAAAAAAAAAAAAAAAAAAAAAAAAGAGGACGATAAATCTTTCACTGTGATATCTGGCCTTGATCACAGAGATCCTCCTCCCTCTGCCTCCTGAGTGCTGGATTAAAGGCATGTGCCACCATGCCCAGCTAGATCTTTTATATTTTTAAAAAATATTTTTATTTAATAACCACATGATTAGAAGAAACATTTCATTACAACTTTAACATATTCAGTAACAATTTCCAGAGCAAGGATACATCTTTTTCAAAAGTGGCTGTAAATTTTTAAGTTCACAGTTGAATTAATACAGTTATACAATATTGAACTCAGTATAAACTCTGTAAGATATAAAATTGAATGAGTTTTTAACCTTTAAAGATCTCCATTTCATGTAGGAAATATGCTGCTTCCTACATTTTTAATGCTACTAACACATATTTGCGCATATGTCTTTAATCTCTATGTATCTGATTTTTACTAGTCATATTCGGTTACACTCGGATCCTTGGCACCTGAGTATGGATATAAAGTCATCAGTTAGATTTCAATGGTAATGTTTATCTTGAGAATTTCATACAGTGCATTTTGATCATATTCAGTGCCCCCATCTCTACACACATTACTCTCTGTAGCCCGGGTCCCCCTATACCCCCCCCACTTAATGTCCTCTTTTAAAAGCCTATAGTCTAATTTGTGTTGCTCAGATGCTCTTGGGTGTGGGTCCATCCCCTTAAAACATGGTCCACCTACTTGGCATCACACCCTTAGGGAAAACTGAGTCTCCCTCTCCCAGCAGCTATCAGTTGCCAACAGTTCCTCCGTGAAGGCTGGGGCTCTTTGCTCACCTCCCTTCTCCATGCTGGATTTTTGTTCTGCCTTCCCACGGGTCTTGTGCACGCTGTCCCAAACACTGATGAACTCGTGAGCAGCTGCTCTGTTATGGGGAAAACAGTTTCCTTATATCCATCCACCAACTCTGGCTCTTACAGTCTTTCCACCCTTTCTTCCACAAAGATCCATTCATTCTATTTTTAACACCTAATTTACATATCCCAGATCTTTAAACACAAGGAGTTTGGGTCCATTTACCCACTTGTGTGTATACTAGATATATAGCCCTAAGTAAGTTATTGTAATACACCTGCAGAAGTTTAATAGACGAGAGAAACTGGGAAAGGAAATAAGACTCTTTTCCATTGTTAATGGAAAAGAATCACCAGCCAATTGACTGGGAAAAAAACAAGACTATTGGCTAAGTGTGTGGTAAGGGCAGGACTAAACTAACATTTGATATCCTGTATCAAAATCAATTTCGGGGGGTTAAAGGATTTTATTTTTGTAATGGGTAAGGTAGGTATGATAGCTCAGGCCAGTAACTCCAGCACTTGGGGGAGGGTGAAGACAGAAGAATCTGGAGTTCAAGGTCATCTTTAGCCTATACTTGAGCTTGAGGCCAGTCTGCGATACATGAGACTTTTCTAAAATTAATGGGCAATAGGCAAAGTACAGGGGGTTTGGGTTTGGGGTTTTTTTACTGCTCAAAAGTATTGACATTTTAAGGCCGGGAGTCGGGTGGGGTGGGGCGGGGATGTGCAGGATTAAAGGATGTTGAAGTTCAAAGCCTCATTCATCACCAGCAAAACACAGTCGCCTGGGCAGCCAAACCCAAGTCTATCTACCTGGACAGTTTTCAGTACTGACCCAAGATGCCTTGCGGCTGGGCGTACCCACCAGTGCCGGGATTCTCAGTGCCTAGCGACCTTGGGAACCTTTATATTGTGTTAACACGATCGAATGTCCCTGAGAATTTTCTCCACTTGTGGTTTTAACTGTCTTTACACTTTTCAAAGTCTCCTGTCTTTTACCACTTTTAGCCACTCCTCAACCAGTGGCCTCACTTCATCTCCGGCCTGTGGGAAAGGACGCAGAGCTTGTCTCACAAACCTTGTAGTGGATGCTGTGGAGTTTGGAGCATCTGTCAGCACTTCGTGGTGGACACGGATGGGCCACTGGCCTGGGCTTCCGAAGCCCCCAGGCATCCACCAGTCACCAGGCCAAGGCTGCCCTTCCCTCAAGCTCCTCCAGAGCGGAGCACCAGCTCAGTGGCCATAGCCCTGGTAGCTGGCATTCCAGGACTCCTGACTGTCCAGGAGAAAGTTTCTGCCTCTGGCCCCCAGTACCTCGTGCCCCCAGAGTCCCCCCCTTACATCTCTACTGACTAGAAACCTACCTGCGTGCCTGTCCCAGCTCTCAATGTAACACCCACAAGTGATTCAAGTGAGCACACCGCACCCAGACCTTTCCCTATCTCGGGATCCCT